CTATGTTTTTTCAAAGTTAAACTTGCGTTAATTTTACATGGCTTTCTAAACATGCGGATCCTTTGTGCGAGACGCGAGTGTAATGGTAATAGATGTCCCTCTAGAAAATGCGTGAAATATGTGTTGTGTGAAAACGGCTTGGTTTCAGTTTTGATGTAAACAAGATCTTCTCCGCATTGATGTTCTCTTTTTCCACAATATTTTTAATGGACAACACAGCAGCGCCGCATCTAATGGCTTCAACTAGATAGGCTAACAAAAACATTATAATGCAACGACACTTACATCGCCATCGCATCTCATATGTCACTGATAAGGCTGCCTCCTTAACGCACACCTACAATTGTAATGCAATGTTAAGACTAAAATTTGCCCATTTGAAATATGTCAACATTGAATGTGGATTTTTCTTTTAAATTCGACGAATATTTGAAATTCAAAAAAATTTTTGAAAGCCCTAGTGTGTAGTGTGTATGTTTGGGCATAAAAAAGATCTACAAAGTTACAAATCTCAAAGTTCACTCCTAAGGGAGATATTTCATTTTTTAAAAACTCCAGCGAACGGCTCGTATGGAATACAGCGTTGTTTTCCGGGGGTTTTGTGATGTCACAAAGTGGCCCATTAGAATATAATTCAAATAAATCCCGCCTACGTAAATTCGAATGGTTGGGGGGAGGGGAGGGGCGAGGTCGTGGTTAGAACCATAGATATAAGTAGATGCCCTATTAGCGGCTGTTTCTATGGGCCACTATACGTAAGCCGTCCGCCATATTGGAATGTCCATGAACACTCAAGAGCAAGTTGCCTTTGCATCTGCACTGCAACTGTAGTTATACGTATGAATATTTGTATCTTCAGTAGACTTCAGAAGATGCTTTTGCTAAACTAACAATACAAGACGAAGCCGTTAACTAACAAGGCATTTAAAAGGTACTTTAATTTAAAAACCTGTAATATTGAGTTGATGCATATTAAAACCAACACATTCTTACCTATGAAAGGTTATGTCAACCAGATGCTGCACAATGTTGTTGCATTTTCGAAACTCACTGACTGTTATTGTGAGTGACGACATAGACCGTTCCAAGATGGCGAATGCGTCAACGTATCTGGAGCGGTCCAATGAGGCATCTATACATGTCTATGGTTAGAACGCTTGGTTGAGAGCATCAGACAAGACGACGACGATGAAGAAGTGCTGCTGTAGCGTCAAGTTTTTGCAAGTCATTACACATGCACCTGAATAATTATGTATGTAAATATGTATGTTACAATTATGAAAACGTTTTTATAAATTGCTGACAGTACAATACTGGACAATGATGTAATCTGCAGAATTTACACTTCAATTATGAGACTACTTGTTTCCCATACATTAATTTGTTTGTGGCGCCCGCCACAATATCAAAACTGACTGCCTCAAATTGATTTTCCAGAAGGCTTTGACTTCGTTGATTAAACATGAGCACTGTACGTTTCAATATCGAAACCCGGTGCGGGTGTTTTTATATCACTGCATTTCTGAAAGGAAACCGACTGTCTTCAGAACATTTTGAATGTCATTTTCATTTCATCTTAACAGCCGTTACCAGGGAAACCTCGATCTCTACCACTCCAACAGCGCCTCCTGCCGGCAGAGACAATGAATTTGCATATATATGCCACCACAAATAGAGTGTGAGTCTGTGGGAAACACTATGGTATAAATAAATTCAACTATTTCAATAGTTTCACTGCAATTCATGTTATAATGTTAGTATTAAAGAACAATAAATAAAATAAATACTAAACTAAAACTAACAAAACCATTAATGAAACTAACTTGAAAAGTGCTGCTTGGAGGCATTGGAAATAAGACCTTTGTGTGAACTGACTTGCCTTACAGGAACTGAACTTAAGTTATTTCCCAGCCGTCCCACTGCTGCCTTACAAACTCAAGAGGAGTCAACACTCCATTCAACAGAAACCTAGAGAAATGAATGAAGTTGCTATAATATCAAAGACAGAAAAGCCAAGTAGCATCTTGTTACACTCACAGCACCTGATGTGTTGTTCTCACCACAGATCTTTAATTTAACATGTGATAAACCTTTACAGGGTAGCAAGAGGTCGCTGGATATCACCGTTCTCCAAATCTGCTACGCATATGTTCCTCTAGCCAGATATTTTCCAATTAAACCAATAGCATGAACTAAAGCGCATCGCAGCCTTCTCTCCTGAGCTCGGAACTTGTTCTTGGCACAACATCTGAGAAAAACTTTTCAAGCCGTTTCACTCAGAACAAAAGACAAAGACATACCCTGCATAATGTTCATAGTTCTGTTACCTTACTCCAGAGGTCCCCAACCACCGGATCGCGACCCACTACCCAGCCGTGGAAGAATTGCTACCGGCTCGCAAGAACGTTCTGGGAAAAAATGTGTAGGCCTATAGATATGACACTCTGTTATTTATTTATGTTAATGATTGTTCTAATTATTCTGTATTTTCTTTGTATACGATTGATATGGAGTAGCAATTTGACAATGTCATGTTAAATAAGTAAATGAAAGATTGCTCTGATCTGTCACATATTAGGAGTTAAACGGATCGCAGTTGATCCGTAATACGTACGGATGAGACCCTACCGTTCGGCACGCACGTGATTGGCAGATTAATTTGCCAATTTACACATACAAGCAATTTTAAACCACAAGAAGAAGAAACGAAAGAGAGCTCAATTCGTTACTCACGTGCTGTTCTCACACACAATCAAAGCGCGCACAAGAGACATGTTTCAGACAGCGCGGAAATACTAAAACAAAAAACAATATAATGCACTGAAGCACTATATAATGCTATTATAATAGCTACTATATAATAGTCTAATATATATAAAAAAAAAAGCTAAAAAACAGATGAAGAACCAGGCAGCTTATTCGAAGTATAAGAGCTACAAGAAAATGTTTTGGTTATTTATGGAATATATGAGGTCAAAGGTTAATGTTAACATGGCAGATATACTGTTGTATAGGGATGGGTATTAACACGTTCAATTCACAATTCAATTTCGCTTCACAAGCTGTTTTATTGACTTCTTTCCACAGTTGACTGAGCGATTACAGAGAAATGATTCATTTCAGTAAGTTGTACTGTCATGTTAAATAAGTAAATGAAAGATTGCTCTGATCTGTCACATATTAGGAGTTAAACGGATCGCAGTTGATCCGTAATACGTACGGATGAGACCCTACCGTTCGGCACGCACGTGATTGGCAGATTAATTTGCCAATTTACACATACAAGCAATTTTAAACCACAAGAAGAAGAAACGAAAGAGAGCTCAATTCGTTACTCACGTGCTGTTCTCACACACAATCAAAGCGCGCACAAGAGACATGTTTCAGACAGCGCGGAAATACTAAAACAAAAAACAATATAATGCACTGAAGCACTATATAATGCTATTATAATAGCTACTATATAATAGTCTAATATATATATATATATATATATATATATTTGGTTATATATACCCCCCCGTCCAGAGAGAATACTTTCCAAACATAACCGGTCCATGGTGTAAAAAAAGGTTGGAGACCCCTGCCTTACTCTACCCAGGCACTGCTTCATAAGATGAACATTTATTTTTAGTATTTCATATGTAATCTATTGTTAATAAAAATATTTTATGAGTTTCTGTTTCTCGTTAATGTCTTTATGTTGTCAATTAGATTTTTCTACAAACAGCACACTGTTAAAACCACAGGAGATGATGAGCAAAGTGATTCAAAAAGCTAAAAAACAGATGAAGAACCAGGCAGCTTATTCGAAGTATAAGAGCTACAAGAAAATGTGTCGTTTTGGTTATTTATGGAATATATGAGGTCAAAGGTTAATGTTAACATGGCAGATATACTGTTGTATAGGGATGGGTATTAACACGTTCAATTCACAATTCAATTTCGCTTCACAAGCTGTTTTATTGACTTCTTTCCACAGTTGACTGAGCGATTACAGAGAAATGATTCATTTCAGTAAGTTGTACTGTTTCTTTCAAGACCTTGTGATGTTCATTCATGTTTATTTCATGCTATAACTAGTAGTAAAGAGAAAGAGATGATCAGTTCACATGCCGCTTGAACTTAAGCCACATTAAAGAGTGACAAAATTACATTTATTGTCTGTATTTTGTGATGAAACTGACAAAATTTGAAAGCTGAAACTATTTAATATCTACAGGATAGTTTTTGTACTTTTCCCCACCTGGTCATACTTGTGTTCCTGGTCAAAAATGACCAGCCTGCAAAAAACAATGGCTTGTAAATCTCTCATTATGCTATATTATTACTAGGGACGCATGATATTATTGGAACAACATCGGAATCTGCCGATTATGACTTAAAATGTACACATCGGTATTAGCCCGATATGAAAAATTATACCGATATGCCTTGCCGATAAGATGAACACCTCACATCTGTTCATGGTGTGTTAGCGAAGATCACGTCAGCAGTGTGGTCATTCTTGAAACTTTTCGGAATCGGCTATAGGCCAAAATGAGTTGAAAAATATAGACGTATATTGTTAAGCAACTAGTTAATGGTGAGAATTGGTCCCTAAACTAAAGTATTACCAATCATTACTCAAACAGCCCTACTCTAGTATGCCCAGGAATATCAACAGTCAAAAATCACACAAGAATTCGAGCACAGACATAATGATATTAGCCTATATAATTGAATTGAAGAATAATGATTTCCAAACAACCCAAGGTTTTCCCAGAACACAAAATGCTGCCCATAAATACCCATGTTTGCATCTGGATTAAGGTAAACTGTATGGTGTGGTTATCTAATGCCCTCGGTGCTTTTGCTATTGCAGAGAACCTATAAATTTGCTGAAGGGTTAGGTTACTACGACCACAGGATGATCGGTGGGGAATGTTCGGAAAGAGGCGGAACTCACTTATCTCTGCCAGCTTAGGGTCTACCGCAGAAACCGTGACCCATCATCCCCTTCAGCCCACAGATAAGACATGCATCCGATAAATTCCTGCCAGCCACGAAAAAAATCCATGCACAAAATCCAGCACAGTTATCGAGAAGAGCCTGGGTGACTTCTCCTGAAATGAGAAGCAATTAAAAATGTATGAGGGGTACGAGAAAAAAAAAGTTCTAAGAGAGAATGCACTCGAACCACAACAGACGATCACAAACAATCACATTATTGGAACCATTTCTGGAAACCACATCCTTCTTTCAAAGCGGTATCATTCAGGGGACGAGCGCTCTGAATCGTTAGCTCAGCACAAAGGTTTTGCGGTATCATGTCAGAAACGAGAGTCGGACATGTTGTGGATCGTTTGAATGATCTTTTCAGAAATCTTAAGGGACAAGATGACCGACTTAAAATCCAGCTTTTCGCAAGGGCGGTGCGGGACAACAGATTTAACTCAGATGCCTGATTCTGAGCCCCTTTATTCATTTGCTAGGTTTACACGGAGTCCAAGGCTCTGTTCCAAAACACAGCTGCCTACGTAGACAGCACTTTAAGGCAGCATGTTTACAATGCCTTCTAAAATACCTTCTTTCGGTCAGAATCTAACGTTGCATTGCAAGTATTCTTGGTGAAAAAAAAGACAATTACAACCGATGCAATAACAATATGTATAGATAAAAAGTTAAATGCAATATTATTGTGTTACTGGATTTCTTATACAATTCCATGCTATGCAATTCTGAGAATTTATTTTGTATTTATTTATTTATTTTATTTGTATTTATTTGAAGCTTTTTCAAACAACATTACAAAAAAAAAAAAAAAATTGGTGTAAGTGTTTTTTTTTTATTGATACTTTTATTTAGCAAAGGTGCATTAAATTGATCAAGTGACAGTAAAGACATTTATAATGTTTCAAAAGATTTA